TATCAAGCTGGAGTGTTGCAGGGTGACAATATTCAAGAAGCATATGGAAATTATGTAACCGAGCAAGTCACCGCACCATACCAACTCAAAGAAGGTGAACAAGATTTCAAGAAGCTAAGGGCACATGTGAATGCCTAGCTAGCTTGTTCGAATTATAATTTTTGGTACACAATATAATAGCTAGCTCACGACTTATCTCTTTAATTGTCTAGTGTGTTTACTTAATTGCTTTAAAGTCTCAAGATTTTAATTGGACTTAGCAAATGCATGTAATGCGTATAATTGAGAAAATAAAATTGAAAGGGGGAAGAAAAATTAAAAGATAAAAATCAATACGCAAACCCCGCATCTTAGTCTCAATATACGTTTAGGACCGTCCAAAATTAAAATCTCTAAGTCTTAAATGTGTTAAACTCGTCAAATGGCTAGTCGCAATAAAATTGGACAAAAAGATTATTTTTCAAAGTTTGACATAGCCAAATGACTTGGGTATAAGTTTCGGCATCATCAAAAGGGGGAAATTGTTAGGAATATATTGTATAACTTTTGATGAGCCAAATGTATTTTGTAGACCCCAATTTTATTCTGTTTGAGTCAGTTCTGGTTCACAAAGTATGGTGCACCCCTGCCAAGAAGCCTACATGAAAGCCTTATTGATGGAAGAATAAATGTAAGCAGGATCATAGCTTAACACATTTATGAAGCGTTCAAGTTATCAAAGGTTGAGATGGATGAGATAGAAGAAGACTTGTTAAAGCACACTTGATACTTGATAGTCTATGGTTTGATTTTTGTTAAGAGCATTTTGGTCTAAATATCACGAAGTTTTAACGGGAATATCGGGAATGATATCATGAAGTGCAATATCGGGAAGTGCCATCATGAAGAAATAGTTTTGATAACATGATATCAATTGTTATCGGATGATGACGTCACAACGTGATATGTTTTACAAGGGTTATAAAACCCAGGTGAAGAGATGAGACAAAAGGATATAAGTCTTGAGATATATCAAAAAGGCTAACTAATCGAGTTGGAAGGAGCGTTGCAAAGCAACTAAGTGATATGTGGTTTAACTCTCACTTGAAGTAATTTTTATGAAAACATAATAACAAGTTCATGATACTAGCTTAACATGATACTAGTTCATGATACAAGATGGACATGATATACAATCGGGATATGACATCATCATGATACAATTGTTAGACAGAATGTTTTTTGAGAACCTGTATTTTTGCGAACGAAGACAAAGAAGTCGAAGAAGCTGATACACGGAGGAAATCTTTTAAATACTCAAGCAAGAATCAGCAGATAAATTATTTGATCAACTTGGCATATCAGATCAATAATTAAACAAAAGTCAAGCCTGAGATTAATTCAAAATTGGAGGCTACACATTCCAAGAAAAACTTTGTCAGATTAATGAAGAGCAACGGCAAGATTTTCAAATCTTCTGACAGACGGCAAAAAGACTTTGCAAACCAAGTTGGCACAATTATTTGATCAACTACAATTCAAAATGGACGATCGAGATCGAAAGTTGATCAACGGGTAAATAGCTTTCATTGGCTATAAATTGCCCAAGCAGACTTGAAGACAAATGAATTCTACAGCGATAAACAACAAAGAATATCATATCAAACATCAAGTGATATATTGAGCTATATACGATAGAATTGAAGTTTGAGAGAAGAAATCATTGTATTTCATTTTAAATCTTCTACTGAGTGTAGAAAAGGGGTAGAGTAACTAGAGAGTGTGAAAACCCCAGTTTTGAGTGTAGCTTTGTGCGTAGCACTCGGTTGTAAAGGGTAGAGTAACAAGAGGGGCTTGTGAAAACCCGGTGAGAGCGTAGCTTTGTGCGTAGTTCTCGTGGTGTAAGAGTACAGCTTGGTGCGAAGTACTCGGGAAGGCGGAGTAACAAGAGGAGCTTGCGAAAAACCTTGGTGGAGTGTAGCTTTGTGCGAAGCACTCGGAGAAGTGTCGCTGGACACTTATTCACTATTGTATCTGGGTGATCAAAGAATAGTGAATTTCCTCCTTGAAATGAAAGGAGAAGAGTGGACTAGGAGAATTACACCATCTCTGAACCACTATAAATCTCTCTCTCTATTTACTTACTGCTTATTTAATTTCATGCATGCTTATACCAACTGTGAAGTAACCCATTATGATTTATCGCGTATCTTTATCTGTCTGGGTTTGATAGTTACCACGTTTGCATGCAAGTGAAACTTTACATACATCATCCTTAATCTATATCAAGTGTTTCTAATGTGATGCATGTATAGAATCTCTCTTTGAGCACTACACAATCAAAGCATAACACTTTACCGCTACTTATTGCCCAAGCAGACTTGAAGACAAATGAATTCTACAGCGATAAACAACAAAGAATATCCAATCAAACATCAAGTGATATATTGAGCTATATACGATAGAATTCAAGTCTGAGAGAAGAAATCATTGTATTTCATTGTAAATCTTCTACTGAGTGTAGAAAAGGGGTAGAGTAACTAGAGAGAGTGAAAAAACCCAGTTTTGAGTGTAGCTTTGTGCGTAGCACTCGGTTGTAAAGGGCAGAGTAACAAGAGGGGCTTGTGAAAACCTGGTGAGAGCGTAGCTTTGTGCGAAGCACTCAGAGAAGTGTCGCTGGACACTTATTCACTATTGTATCTGGGTGATCAAAGAGTAGTGAATTTCCTCCTTGAAGTGAAAGGAGAAGAGTGGTCTAGGAGAATTACACCATCTCTGAACCACTATAAATCTCTCTCTCTCTCTCTATTTACTTACTGCTCATTTAGTTTCGTGCATGCTTATACCAACTGTGAAATAACCCCTTACGATTTATCGCGTATCTTTATCTGTCTGGGTTTGATAGTTCCCACGTTTGCATGCAAGTGAAATTTTACATACATCATCCTTAATCTATATCAAGTGTTTCTAACATGATGCATGTATAGAATCTCTCTTTGAGCACTACACAATCAAAGCATAACATTTTACCGCTACTTATTACGCTGTGCACACTCAAAGTTATTTAACATGTTTATGCTTATTACTTAGAGTTAAAATTACCAAAGTGTTGTATGCTCAAGAAAAGTTTAAAAAGTTTGAGAAGTCTATTCACCCCCCCCCCCCCCCCCTCCCTCTAGACTTCTCGCCACCCTTTCAAGACCAACAAATACGTTAGTTATTTAGTATGGTTTAAGTACTTAATCTGCTCCAACTTGACTTGTGCGTATATGTTATTTGTTAAAATTGTTTTGGTAAAATTGTTGGAATTTTGGTTTGGTATGTTCTGGTTGTTTTTGTTGGAATAAGGGGGTAAGCAAGAAAGGGGGAGTAGTAGTTAAAATGGTTGATGTATTGGCTTGACTATGACTGCTGCATATGGTATTCTTTTTTATACTACTACTCTTATGGTAATCTTCTTTTGGTAAATCTCTTGCTATTATATCAGTCTCTGGTTATGAAGTTTATGGTTATTAATCTCTCTCCAAGTATAAAGCTTTTATTTGGCTATATGATGGCTATATGATGCATTGGATTCTCTTACTGGAATTTCTCAGATTTTGGATTATCTCGTTTGGTTATAGTTTTATTTGGCTCATCATAATCTCTAGGGTCTCATTTTATAATCATCACCTTATTTGGATTATTCTTGGATTATCTACTTGATGAGATTATTTATGAGGAATATTTTGGATGGGGATTGCTTATAAGGCTCTATCCTCTTGGTGTATGATATTTGATATTGATCAATATAATGCAAGATTGGATATGAGGGAAAATGATAAACTAAGCCAGCAAGTAAGTATGAGGGCTTTGATACTAGCGCTACTACCAATGAAATTGATGATGTTGACGACGACTCAGTTTCAGGCACCCCGTCTGCACGCTAATTTGATCCACTATATGATGTTCACCGAATTTTGTCAATTTAATGGCAAAAAGGGGGAGTAAATAATGCACTGAGGGGGAGTAAATAACTAAGGTTCATCATGTATTCAAGATTCACGGTGCAATTTTAGATTTTTTGTTTGAAAATGTTTGAGAAAGTATAGAACATATACTTCCTTGTAAAGCATCATGGGCATTTAAAAAAAAAAAAAAAAAAAAAAAAAAAAAAAAAAAAAAAAAAAAAAGAAGAAGAAGAAGAAGTAGTAGAATGGTCCATTTTAGTTCCGACTTTAATTAAATATGTGATCTTCGGGCCGCAATTAGGTTTCATTATTTCTTTTTAAAAAATAATATATTTTTTAATGTTTGCTGGACTAGCTCAGTTGGTTAGAGCGTGTGGCTGTTAACCACAAGGTTGAACTCACAAGTCTCATACTACTAGTTCCACTGCAACACCCGGGCAGAAACTTGAAGTCTAGCTTCTATTGAAGGCTTAAAAATTAGAAATTTTATGTCATAGAAATTTTTTTTTAACGATAATTTTACTTTTTTAGTTATATAACTGTTGTGATATTATAAGATAGTGAAAAAAATTCAAATTACACGTCACTACGATTTAAAGTTTGTAAACAAGGACATAAATTTGAACTCTTCAAAATTTACTTCCATAAGTATGTATATATCTTCAATTGAAACTAGTGACTAAACTTATTATAATTATAAATATACACTACAATTTTTTATTGATGTTGTAAAAGTTACCACATTATATTATGTGTATAAGGCTAAGGTTGGGTTGTGTATGGTGAGCCTCAAATTAAGATATGTGGCTATTGAGATTGGTTGATTGTGCCAACTACCATTTAGTGTAATGACATTCCAATTACCCGCGGTGGGAGCTTAGATTTTTTATTTGAAAATGTTTGAGAAAGTATAGAACATATACTACCTTGTAAATCATCATGGGACTTTAAAAAAAAAAAAGAATATTGGTCAATTTTAGTTCCAACTTTAATTAAATATGTGATCTTAATTAGGGTCGCAATTAGGTTTCATTATTTCTTTTTTAAAAATATATATATTTTTTAATGTTTGCTGGAGTAGCTCAATTTGTTAGAGCGTGTGACTGCTAACCACAAGGTTAAAGGTTCAAGTCCTTCCTCTAGCGACTTGCGACATTTGAACTCACAAGTCTCATACTAATAGTTCCATTGCAACAACACTCGAGCAGAAACTTGGAGTCTAGCTTGTATGGAAGGCTCACAAATTTGAAATTTTATGTCATAGAAGTTTTTTTTTTATAGATAATTTTACTTTTTTAGTTATATAACTGTTGTCATATTATAAGATAGTGAAAAAAATTCAAATTACACGTCACTACGATTTAAAGTTTGTAAACAAGGCCATAAATTTGAACTCTTCAAAATTTACTTCCATAAGTATGTATATATCATCAATTGAAACTAGTGACTAAACTTATTATAATTATAAATATACTCTTCAAATTTTTAGTGATGTTGCAAAACTTACCACATTATATTATGTGTATAAGGCTAAGGTTTGGATGTGTATGCTGAGCCTCAAATTAAGATATGTGGCTATTTAGATTGGTTGATTGTGCCAACTACCATTTAGTGTAATGACATCCCAGTTACCCTTGGTGGGGGCTTAGATTTTTTGTTTGAAAATGTTTGAGAAAGTATATAACATATACTACCTTGTAAATCATCATGGGCATTTAAAAAAAAATAAGAATAATGGTCCATTTTAGTTCCGACTTTAATTAAATATGTGATCTTAGTGCCATAATTAGGTTCCATTATTTCTTTTTAAAAAATAATATATTTTTTATTGTTTGCTGAAGTAGCTCAGTTGGTTAGAGCATGTGGCTGTTAACCACAAGGTTAAAGGTTCAAGTTTTTCCTCTAGCGACTAACGACATTTGAACTCGCAAGTCTCATACTAGTTCTAGCTTGTATGGAAGGCTCACAAATTAGAAATTTGAACTCTTCAAAATTATTATAAATATACACTTCAAATTTTGTATTGATGTTGTAAAACTTAACACATTATATTATGTCTATAAGGCTAAGGTTGGGTTGTGTATGGTGAGCCTCAAACTGAGATATGTGGCTATTGAGATTGGTTGATTGTGCCAACTACCATTTAGTGTAATGACATCCCCGTTACCCGCAGTGGGGGCTTAGATTTTGTAAGAGTACAAGTGATACACATTAAAACCCTTTTATATTGGCTAATTTAATTGTCAAAATAATAAGAATTTATTTTGAAATTATCATATGAACCATGGACCATCTCCCATCAAGAAGGTAGATCAATTGGAAATCTTCAAGTAATTGGTCCGAAATGCAATTCAGTTTTGAAGAATTAAATAAGTGGCCTTGGTTTATTAGAGTTGGTAATTGATGGGTTCAGCATGGTATTTATGTGTGGCGTTGGAATTGCATGTGAAATAACAAAAAGGAGTGATGGAATTTTTTTGAAGAGAAAAATAAGGATTGGTTGAAAATGGACATTGGCGTATGAATAGCATCTCATTTTGGAACTTTGAGTTTATTATATAAAGGCATGGTTTCCTTCTACAAAGATTGCCGAATTAAGAACTGCCATATTAAGAGAAAGGACATTCTACAAAGCCATCATTTTAATCTCTTTTTATTATATTATTTCTTGAGGGTTTAAATCTGAGTTGCACAGACAGTACCTGGTACAGCTGAAGCTTCGCTTGAAGATTGCTATGGCATGCACGGTTAATTCTCTGTGTTCTTATTTTATTTTATGCTTTCAAGTTCAGTTATTTACATTTGATTAAATAACCTAATTAATGAACACGTTTGTTGCATAAATTAAAATCAAGTAGAATTCTAAGGTTCATCTTGTATTTAAGATTCACGGTGCAATTTTAGATTTTTTGTTTGAAAATGTTTGAGAAAGTATAGAACATATACTACCTTGTAAACCATCATGGGCATTTAAAAAAAAAAAATAATAAGTAGAATGGTCCATTTTAGTTTCAACTTTTGAGTGGGAGGCTCTTGAGTAAACTTACGAAGGAACTACGTCAGTGAAACAATCAAAGCTGCAACTAGTCCAGTCCAACTTTGAAGAGCCTCGGATGAATGAGGATGAGACCATCACGAACTTTCACACACGCGTACAGGAACTGGTGAATCGTGCGATGGTCCTCGGTGAACCTTTTCCACAAGCAAAACTTGTTAAAAAAATTCTGAGGTCCTTACCACCGAGGTTCAGAATGAAAGTCACGGCTATTCAGGAATACGACGGCGGGGAGAACAAAACGGTTACTCAATTAATGGAAAATCTTAGAACCTATGAAATGGAAATTTTAACTGAACACACGAAAAGGAAAAAACAAAAAAAAAAATGTAGCTTTTGCCGCTGAAGGAAATAATGTTGTATCTGATTCAGACGAACCAGGCGATGATACAGTTTTTTTTTTTGACTAAACAGTTCTCTAAAATTTTGAAACAGGTATCAACAAATTCACGCAACAGAAATCCACAAAGAGGAGCAACATCGTCCAAAACTGGTCGCAGGACAGGTTTGTCAAACTCCAAGCAGTCTATCTCACGTCCAAGACAGTCCAAAGAAAAACATAACAATAAAGGAATCAAGTGCTATGAATGTGAAGGCTTAGGATATGTACAAGCAGAGTGTGCACCTATCTTAGACACAAGAAGTCTATGTCAGCCATTACCTGGAGAGACGACGAGCCTGACACTGAAACAACTGGATCTGATGTAGATGAAATCTCGGGTAACTTTGTTGCATTTACTGCACGTGTTGCTGGCTGTTCAGAATCTGTTGAAGGAGCTGACTCAGAGGGTGGTAAATATGTCTCCGCGGAAGACTTAGAACTAAATGCTTTATCTTTTGAAGTTGAGTTTAATAAGTTGTATCCCAAATGGGAAGCCCTACAAAAAGCAAATCGTAAACTAGCTAGTGAGATAGAGATTGTAACAAATGCTTGAAAAGTGTATCAAACTCAAATAGCTGATAGGGATGTACTGCTTAAGGAAGCGGCCGACCGAGAAGAGAAACTAAAACAAGATGTACAGACCCTGAAGCAGGAGCTAAGCACATACAAACGGCAAATCCAAATGATGGACACCACTTCAACACTTGACAGGATCCTTGATTCTGGAAGAAAAACATCCGCAAAATATGGTTTGGGTTTCACCGGAAGCAACTCAAAGGATCAAACGGTATTCGTCAAAGCGTTTGGACCTGATCCAGAGGACATTCCTGAATCCAGCTCAACGAAACGTACCCATGGTATAGTAAGATCAAATAAGCTACATTACAAACTCTATAACCCCGTATGTCATTATTGCAGGTTGCGCAGCCATACCAGACCCGAATGCTACTACTTCTACAAGGATCAAAGAATCGAGAAGTTCAGGCACAAGAACATCCAACCCTTTACAAAATAGATTTGGGTTTAAAAGACTGACTATATTTTGTTTGTCTCTTTTCACTCTAAAAGTGCAGGAAAAGAAGAGAAATGGTACATTGACAGCGAGTGTTCCCGTCACATGACAGGAAATGCCAAATTCCTAAGTAACGTAAATGCAAGGAAAAGTGAAGTTACCCTTGGTGACGGTATTAAAGGTCAGGTCACTGGCATAGGCACGCTAAATGTAGTTGGCCTGCCAAAACTAGAAAAAGTATTGCTAGTCAATGGACTTCACGCAAATCTCATAAGTATAAGTCAACTATGTGACCAAAACTAGAAACATGCGCTTCACCAAAAATATCTGCAGTGTCCTGGACAAAACAAATCAATGCGTTATGGAAGGTAAAAGGTCAATTGACAATTGCTATATTCTAACTAACATATCTTCTGTTGCAGGACCAGCATAGATGAAGCTGAGCTATGGCACTAAAAACTGGGGTATCTGAGTTACAGACTACTTGATAAACTAATGAAGATAGAAGGTGTTCGTGGTTTACCCAAGATGAAAGTCGAATCAACCATTTGTGGTGCCTGCCAAGCTGGGAAACAAACCAAATCATTTCATCCAGCTCAACATGCCATAAACACGAGTCACTGCCTAGAACTGATCCACATGGATCTCATTGGTCAAACTCAAACAGAGAGTTTTGGCGGTAAGAAATACATACTGGTATGTGTTGATGATTTTTCACATTTTTCGTGGGTAATCTTTCTCAGGGAAAAATTCGAAGCACTTGAAGCTTTCAAAACACTGGGACTGAAACTCCAAAAGGAAATAAATGAACCTATTATTCGAATTCGAAGTGATCACGGACGAAAATTCGACAACAACTTGTTCGATGCCTTTTGCAATCAATCAGGAATTACCCACGAGTATTCAGCACCAAAGACACCTAAAAAAACGGAGTCGTTGAATGAAAAAACCACCATTCAAGAAATGGACGAGTCGTGCTCAACGCCAAAGTATTACCTGAAAAATTCTGGACAGAAGCTGTAAACACCGCATGTCACATCCCCAACCGAGTCTATCTTTAGCCAAGCATAAGTCAAACACCGTATGAATTATGGAAAGGTAAGAAACCAAATATTAAATACTTTCACATTTTTGGCTCACGATGTTTTATTTTGAAGGATAGAAATCCTGTTGCAAAATTTGAACCAAAAAGCGACAAGGGGATCTTTCCCGGTTATTCAACGAACAACAGTGCATATCGTGTATACAACAAAGTGACCAAGACCATCATGGAGTCTACAAATATTGTAATTGATGATCAACCGAATGATACTGTTGAAGTTTCACAACCTGAGTCAGTGACAGAACCTGATGCAAACTGTTCTGAAACTCCTGATCCTGAAACTCCTGAACCAGATCCAGAGTCACCTACGCCATCACCAACGCCATCTGAACCTGACCCAGAACCAGAATCAGAATCTGACACTGATCAAGATGACAATGACATTCCAACACGCATCCACAATAGATCATCTATCTTCAAAATTAATTTTGCCATCATATTTGGTGATAAGGTCTACAGGTTCATTACTCTCTAATTCTTTTTGTTGATTTCATGAATATTTTAGGGTGTCATTGTCTAATGTGTCTTGTGAAATACCTGGAAATTTACCTATGTCTAAAGCTGAGTTTTTATGTGTTCCTTTACCTAATTTGG